TAAGTCTGCTTGGTCCTAGAATGATTCTTCTAGGCAGCTATGGCTAGAAGTGTGACCTGAAACTCCTTCTGTGTCTTCTCACCATAATTTCCCAGCAGTCACAGAAGTTTCCCAGTGGGATGTGTGGGGATGGAAGGGGCAATCAGAGGAGGTTGTTCAGCTGAACAGGGAGGTGCAAACCCTTGTTTGGGGCAGAAAATGAGTTATCTGGATAAAGGCAGCCAGGATGAGACCCCACTCTTAGTAGTCCACCTCATTCTGGACTGACTGGTTGGTAACACCAAGCTTAACCCAAGGTGTCTCCTCCCACTAAACTCACTTCGGTGACACTGAGGTGCAGCAAAAGCTGTGTGGTGACTTGGAACTGTCCTGTGTGTCCTGTGTGTCCTTGGTCCACAGGCAGATGCCAGGGCCCACAGTGCTCAGGCAGGAGCTACAGGTGATCTCTGGGAGGGAGTGAGAAGGGAATAAGAGATGGTCAGTGCCGCTTGCTGGGAGAGATCCACACTCCCAGCTCCCTGCCAGGGAGCCCAAACATGGGAAGCACATCCCGTGTCAGCCCACCTGCATTCACGGCTGGAACTGAGCCCACACAGCCTGCACAGGGAGCTCTGCCCATCCCCAGGGTCAGAGAGGAGCAGTTTCCAGCACACAGAGCTGTGAGCTTCCCCCTGATGTGGCAGAGCTCAGAGCAGCCTGACAAGGCACTGAGGTTCCCACTGAATCCAGCACCGTCCCTGGCTCCTCTGCATGACATGTTATCCCTGCCTCACCAGGGTCTCCCTGATTCACACGGGCCAAACAAACAAAAGAATGAGTGCAAGGAGTCTTGAAGTGATGGACTGTCTCCAGGTTTATGGGACGGTCCAGGAGTGAAAATCAGAGTGTGGCCTGCAGAGGGAAGAAAAGAGCTGTGGTAGCATCACTGCGCTTCCCGGGGGTCTGCTCTGCTTCCCGCTGCTCCTCTGGAGCAGGCTCCGAGTTGAATAGCTGCCTTTAAACATTAAATACATTCAAAGCCCATTCATATCACACCGAAATTAAACTGCTGGATTTCATTCAAGAGGCATTCCCCTGAGAAAGGGCTGAGAAGAAAATAATGGTTAGCTGAATGCCCCACCCATTCAGCACACGGGAAAACCTCCCAGGAGGGAAGGTAAGGAGTGAGGCTGGGCTATCGCCTCACCTCATTGCAGCGGTATCTGCGTATAAGCCAATTTCTCAATCCATTTAGAAATTCACTAATTGTCATTGGAACTATTTGCTGATGACTGTGAAGTAGCTTGGTAATGAAGAGGAAGTCCATTTATTCGTTAACATTTGTGAAAATAATTGCCTGTCACTCCACCGAACATCCTTTGCCCCAGAAACATTTACTCTTCAGCACCTTTTTATTTTTTTCTGAGCTGCACACTTTGAAACGCCACTTACAATTTCCAGTCCCTGAAGGGCTCGTTCTCAGCCTCTGTGACAGGAGTGAGGGTGTCCCACAAGGGGACACTAAACGTCCTGTCACTTCTGCTGCAAGGAGAGGAGAGTGTATTAACTGTGCTGCAGGCTCTGGCTGCCTGGTTGCAGCTCCCAGGTACTGCTGAAACTGTGGGTTTTACAGGGCTGCTGCAACTCTGCAGCCTGCCCCTCTCCTGTGCCCAGGGCTGGGAGAAGCCATGGATGCAGGGCTCAGTGACAATGGCTCTGTGTCTGGCCCAGGAGAGAAGGTGGCCCCAGCAACAGCATGTGAGCTTCAGGGGCTGTCTTCTGCCCCCTGTTTGATAGCCCTGCTCACAGCCTTCACCACAACAACAAAAAGACTGCATAAAGCCAGGCTTGCACCAGAAAGTGAGTCCTAGAGGGATGAAGAATGTTTTTTGGAGTGATGTCTCAGGAGGGGAGGAAATGGGAGAGGATGAAGATCTGTATTCCTCAGCTCTCCGTGCCAATTGCCCCCATGAGCACAGCCAACAGTTCTGCCAGCACCTGATCCTGCCATGGGTGACACACTGTGGGGATGGCTTTGTCTGCTGTGCTCACTGGCTCAGCCCTCTCCATCATGCCCAGCACGTCCTCTGCTGCCACCACCACTCCCACCAACACAGGTGACATAAACACACTCGTTCCTTCATTTTGGGCAAGCAAAATTCAGCACTGCCTGCATGGCCAAGAGGCTCTGAGCCCTCTGCCAGCTGGTGAGGGTGGGCTTGCTGCTGTCACCTGCACACTCAGGGTCCCTTGCCAGGTCCCTGGAGAAAAGTGGGAGACAGAGTTTGCCACCCTCTGAATCAACAGAGATCCGCCAAATCACACTTGCTGGGCTTATGCTGCTGTCATATCTTTCACTCCAAGGGCCACTTGTTTGTTTGTCAACAGCAATGAATTTGTTCCCATATCTGTACCCAGGGCAAGGAGCATCTCCTGAGCATGGATGGCCAGCAGTGCTGACTTAGCAGTGCGTGGAGAAGGAGATAAACACAGCCCTGCTGCTGGGACCCAGCGGGGCCATGCACTGTGCTCCTGCCTCTTGCTGCTGCAGCCAGCTGGGAGCCAGCAGAGCCGTGTAACAGCAGGATGTGTCACTGCCTTGGCTGTGGCCAGGGACAGTGGTCATGTCCCCAGGGAGGAGCACGCCTCAGCAGCTTGTCCTGTGAGTGGGGAGTGGAGCAACTCCTGCCTGAACAGGATGGGGCAGCAAGGAAAGGACTGCCACAAATGTACTCAAGGTGTTGTTTGTGTTTGAGGTGCAGCTGCTGCAATGCTGCCCAGCAGCTGGGCTGGCCACTGCAGTTTGGGATGATCCAGGCTGCCTAATAACACCTGACAACATCCTACAGCCATAAACCCTCATTCAGTCGTTCCAGAGTGTCCAATGGACCCATGGTAACCCATGGTTCTTGGGAATGGCTTACTGGATGTATTTGCTGGCCTGGGGTGAAAACTTTCGAGTGTTTCCAAGTGTGAATTGCTGCAGATACAACACTGTAGGAAGGTGGGGTGAAGGACTAGGTCAGGCAGGTACTTGGGGTTTACTTCCCATGTAGTGGAGCATTCCTGGTTTGGGAAGACTGGAGATGCTGTGTTTGCTTCTTGGGAAGATATTTTATGCATTTTAGGATTAGGCAACTGTCTTTTGCTTTCAGGTGCTGAGGTGTTGAGAGGGAGAAGTGTGTGGATGAGTGTAAATCAGCTCTGTGCAGGGAGAGCTGCCTGTTTATACCAGGGGATTTAGGCTTCCAGATATTTAATTTCTGGTAACTGTACTTCAGCTTGCTGAAACATTTCAGTCTTGAAAAGCCTCTTGTGGATAATGAGCCTACAGGGAGGCGCTGCTCCCAGGGAGCCTCAGACTGGGGAGCAGGGGGGGATGTGGACCTCATGCTAGCAGTGCAATTAATGAGCAAGGAGGTAGCCAGCATTTGCAAGAAAACTCTGGGAGGGGAATAAAACAAAGTGAAAGAGAGGTTTTGTTGCCCTCCTTGAAACCAAGACCAAACACAGCTCACCTAAGTTTAAAATGTCCCGTGGGATACATCATGGGGTGAGGGATCACAGAGGGTGGAGGTTGGGGGATGTAGGAGATGGTTCTGCTTTGAGGTCTGGGGTCTGCCTGAAGAAAACTCTGGAAGGGCTCTGCCAGCCTCAGTAAGAACCTTTTGTGACCCTCCCAGAGCTGTTCCTACAAAGGAGCAGAGGTTTGGTGTGACCCACTCCCTGTGCCCTGGTTCAGGGGGCTCGTGCTGGAGGGTGCCCACCTTGTCTGCAAACCAGGATGAGAAATGCCCCTGCTGAGGACCTGGGTTCACAGTCTGATATAACATGGGGCCCAACCCTCTCCTCCTTCCTGGCCATGTCCTGGGGCTGACAGAGCCATTCCAGAGGAGTCTGTGGGGCACAAGCCTTCTCCAGGCAGTCCCTAGACCTCAAAGCAGAACCATCTCCTACATCCCAGTGGGTGTCACCAATGGGTAGATGGGCAGGAGAGAGGACCCCTGGCAAATGGACACAAGGGGCAATGGGAGGAATCCTCACACCACTGTGTGGTGGCCCTCACTGATGAGCCATGGAGACCAAGCTCCTGCTGGGAAATGTTAGCCACAGTCCTGCCTGGCTTCTGCTCCCCACTCATTCCTTCTGCACCCTGTTAATTATTACAATTAATTGTTGCAAGGGAAACAGGGCCAACATGCACCAAAGTCCAGTGTGAGTGAGAAAATCAGCAGTTTGCTCACAGCCATGAGCCAGCCAACCACAGCTACCACGGAGCTGCCTGGGACACCAGGGGACACGGCAACAGCCCTTGGAGTGGCAGACATCGTGGTGGTGGTTCTGTACTTCGTCTTTATCCTCGCTGTCGGGATATGGGTGAGTCCCTGAGGGGGCTGGGATTGGGACTGCCTGAGCCAGAGAGGCTTTGATTCTCCCTGGACTCCTTCTGGGTACCAAGGGGTTTGCCTGCAAATGGCATCCTCTGCATCACTTATCCCAGGGCCTGCGGAGTGAATTTGGGGTGACAGGAATCCTTCTGTGAGCCTGCACTTCCACCCCACATGGAATCCCATGCTGTGGGATCACTCTCCAGAGGTTGCTCTGGGAATGATGCTCAACTCCTGTGCTACAGAGCAGTCTCACATCTGGGTGTGGACAGGCAGGAGGCAAAATAAAAGCCAGGGTTGTGCTGGAGAAGACTGAAATAGGACCTTAAAAGCTTTGGAAAGATTGTTGCTAATTATTCGTTCATGTTGTTTGGTGAAGGCCGCTGTCACAGACACCTACTGCCTGGCTGAACTCCTTTTTTTTCCCAGTTGATACATTCACAGAGAATACATTAAACAGGTACAAGCAGCTTCTTTCCAAAGCACAACTATCAGAGCCCTGCAGAAAAAGGGGCAGAAGCAGTGTGTGAAGCCTGGAATACTTAACAGATCCATAAAATTATTTTGGAGCTGGTGCTGAGGCCAGGCACTAAGGATTCTGGCTTGGTCTGACTCAGGGGTGGGAGAATGGAGGAAAACACTTTTGCCGGGGGACTGTTGGAGGCTATTTTCTGGCTGGACGATCCATGACTTGGGTGCCTGTGAGTGAAATGCTTCCCTCTGTTTTTCATGGTTTGAGAGCAATTCCAGGTGTGAGAGCAGGTCTGGTGAGGGGACCCAGCCTTTTGTAGTCCTGAGATGAAGGGGACAGATGAAAGACCCACAGGGAATCACCCCACACATCTTTGCCAGTGGGCTGCAGCATGGAGCTGCCAGGCCAAAAGGGTAGCTCGGCATCTTCAGGGTTTTCCAGCTTTCAGTTTCTCTGCTAAAGTCAGCAGTAAAAATGTTCCCATTGATGAAAGTTAGGGAATGCTGGCTGCTTAGCTGGGTTTGAAACTTACTGGCCTCAACTCACCACTGATGTTCCCAAGTCAAGAGAGAATTAGGTAATCTAGGAATGTGTTATCCAGTAAAAGGTATTTAGAGATTGAATTAGAAATAATCCCTAATCCCAGGATTTTCTGAGCCCTTGCTATTTAAAGCAGAGTTGAGTTTATTGACTAACGATGGAAAAGATATAAACTTCAAACCACTGAAGTATAAATCTTCACTGTGAAGGAAAAAGTAATCTATTGGAGGTGCCTTTTCTTGGGAGTGAAATGTACATAAAAAGATAATTTAGAGCTGGAAAGGAATAAAAACACCACAGGAATAAAGATTCTTCTCAGCCAATGCCAGACTCTAGAACCATATATCTCTCCAGTGAGTCGTGGGTAACGGAATGCACTTCTCAACCAAAACAGGTTTTTTTTTCTTTTTTTCCTTTGGCTGTGCACTGCTCATAAATTCACTAGGTTTTCTGCCTCTTCCACCAGAGACACATACACCTCTCTAAAATGTCATTTCTTAAATGTTTTTTAAACTTCTGTCTCAGCCAAATGACATTTAATGCAAAAGCTTAGCTTGATGGTTTTCTTTGATTAGGAGGGGGGAAATTAAAAGATACTAAAATTGAATATTTTTTTCCCTCAACCTTGTTCTTTTAAAGAAGATTTCTGGGTTTTTTTTCTATTAAAAAAACAAAAACAAAAACAAACCCAAACAAATCCCAAAACTTCCTCACTGCTTTTGGCTCCAATCACAGGTGGCTACAGAGACTTTTTGGTACAGGTCAGCTTTTGCCTCTTCTGAACTCTTTTAGATTCAGAGCAACGTCTAATGTTCACTTCCCAGATTTGTTTGTCAGAGCTGATTCCATCTCTGCAGCTCTCCTGCAGGCTCAGGTGCCAGGCTCAGGTCCTTGTGACCTTCACCTTGAGTACATGACAGGCTTATCTGAGTTTTATTATTGTTTTTATGAGAGTGACAGGTTCACACGTGCATTAAACATGCAACTAAGCCCTGATATTAAATTGCTGCCTCTCTGCAATGTATCTTTTTTATTTCTGTGTCTGATCTACGTATCAGGAAAACTGCCCACATTTCTTGCAAGCAGTGGTTGCAAAGCCCTGGTGCAGCAGCTTCTTTAACCAAGAGTTTTGTCAGACAGACAAGAAGGCAAACTGACTGTGGGTGTTGATGCCATATTAATGTTTTACCTTGCCCAAAGGTGGGAAGCAGATCAGCTTCCATCATTCCTTGTTTCACATGTGACAGTACTAAGGAGAGAAAAGTTCCTTGTAGGTGATGTGCCTAAAAGCAAACTGGAGGATGAAAAGGCTTGACTTGTCCTTTGGGTAACTTTTAATTTGACCCTGAGAGAGGTGTGATGTTGGCATGCAGAGAGGTGAGCCTTTGCACAAGTAGAAGTAGTAATTAAGTAATTAAGTAGCCTTTTCCCTGTTTAAAAAGCCTTGGAGCTGGCATTCTTACAATTAGGGTGTCAATGAGCCATGGCAGGGACAGCCTACCCGGCCCACAGCCTGCAGTTAAAGCTGACCTGAGGTGTGAGCATTTTCCAGATGCTGCAGAGCTGCTGCCTCCTTGGACACTAAACACAAAGACCTGCCTGCTCCACCACATCCATGCTACAGCTCAGGAGGAGCTCCAAGAGAGCATTCCTGTCACCATGGCTGTGTGAGCCAGCAGCACACGTGTCAGAGCAGGACTCCAAAGAGGCTGTCAGCAGGACATGGGGAGGTAGAGCAGGGACAGAGACAGCACTCTGCTGGCTGCCTAACAAGGGGATGGAGAAATCCAGCGTGTTTCATGGACACTGAGGAATCTGTGGTGTCACCTGTCTCCCCTCCCTCGGCTGTGCCCCTGCAACCGGCGTGCTTCTCAGGAGAGCCACTGGCAAAGCGAGCCCTGATTCTGAGACTACGCTTTGCACTGGAATGGGGACAGTAGAAGGGAGAAGGAACATTCTAAGATAAAAAAAAATATAGGGTTTTTTGAGAGGTAAACAAAAACTCAACTCTCCATTAGCATCCAGCTGCCTAAACTACAGGGAGATGAGATCCTGTGGAAAACAGACTTCTCTTCTGGGGAAATGCTTGGGTTGATACAGAAGTTCCTCAAAGTGACTTTCTGAGTTTCCTGTGTTTCAGATTGGAGCATCCCTGATGTCGACTGATGTGGGCAGTGGTTCGTTCATAGGCCTGGCGGGCAATGCAGCGGCCGGGGGCATTGCTGTCGCGGGCTTTGAGTGGAATGTAAGTCAGTTCTGCTGTCAACTAAGATGTCACTGCTTACAAAGGCATTGGGGTTTCTCTCCAAAATCAGGTGTTTAACGGCACCAGCAGCAACAAGTGTTCAACTCTCAGGAGAGAAGCCTCCAGACATTCTGACAGCCTTGGAAACAGGAGATCTTTATTTTGTTTTCAGTGGAATTTACTAGAATTATTAGCTCTTTGGCCTTCCAAGTGGTACATGGCCTTATTTTTAAGCTTTAGTCTGCACTTATGAAGATTAAAATAAAGGATAATGAATGCTGGAAAGGTACTTGGATAATCACAGGATTCTTAGTACAGGGAGCTGAAAAAAAAGCAAAAAGAAGCAGCACGTACTCCCATATTCACCGTAAATCCATGAAAATCAGCAACACTCTCTTCACCTGGCAGCTGCCAAAATGTCACATCTCTGGGGTGAACATCTGGGTGTGAAGGCAGGCCTCATTCTGCCCTGTTGAAGTGGCCTGGAAAATTGCCACTGACACCACACAAGAGCATGAAAACCAGGCCCTTGGTGTGCAGTGCTAATGAAATTTCTCAGCTGATGAGGAGCGAGATCAGTGCCAGCCTCACAAGAAGCATCACTCACCTAACTCTGAATCTCTTGCCTACCTCAGCAGAGAGTGTTAACAGTGGCAAGCACAGGCAGGGCCCACCAAAAGCTCTCTCCTGGGGTATGTATTCACTGCAATGTTTTTTTCTAGACCATTAAGGTCACCTTTAAATCCTTTGTGAAGAAAACAGAGGCTGAGTTCAGTCTGGTGCATGTAGGACATAATACTGCTGTACTCAAAGGAAATCTATTCAAGTCACTTTAGAAGCTCATGAAGACAAGATTGTCTTTCAGGGCAAATCTAACTTCATGAGTTCAGATTGGAAAGAGAACTTACAGATGCCATTTCTCTCACTCTGTGCCATGGGACATCATTCAGCTGGAGGGATCATATGAGCATCTTTCACCACAGCAAGTCTCTGCCACTGCAGGAGCCATGGCTGTTCTCAATCTGTCACAATCCCTGCTCACAGGGATCAGGGTTTTTTCTGAAAACTTAAAAAAACCTATCAAAATAAATGTAAGCATGAAAGATAGTGGCTGGAGACAACCAGGAGGTGCGGTTTGATGATCCAATGACTTTCATTTACCTTTTAAGTTCTGCTGTTTGGGCTTTTGCTGGGAATCGGAGAAGAAATACATGAGGAATGCCTTTACACTTTCCAAAAGACTCTTCACCTGTGGCAAAGCAACTAAACTGCCTCTTTATCTACCAGTGACAGGAACACATCTGCACCAGCCTGCAAGGAGAACATCCCAGCAGAGTCTTGCTGTTGCTTATTTTTATGCTCTGCAGGGACAGTCTGCTGCCTCAGCCTCATCACTTGCTAATCAAGCAACAAACAGATGCTCCCCTCCTGCTCTGAATCACTTAACTCTTCACTGCCACAGCATCAGTGGTTTTAAAGGCCATCAAATACACCACCACCTTTCAGAGAACCAGAGCAACAGAATACAGCATCCTTCTCAAAAGACCAGGGGATGGAAGAGGAAGTGACACCCATGACAGAGAAATACAGGCCTTAGGAGAAGAGCTTTGAAAGCTTCTAACTGAATTGTAATAATTCCTCCAGAAGCTGGCTCATCTTATGAGCAGGGAGAAAAGTCAGTCTGCTTCTCATGGCACTGTGCCTTTCTGCTTTCTTAGATTGGCCACTGACAGAACAGGGGGAAAAGCTGTTCCCATGTGTCGAATCCTGTGCCTTTATTCTCTGTCTCTTTAACAGGCCATCTGGCCACTGCTGGCTCTGGGCTGGATCTTCGTGCCTGTTTACATCACAGCAGGAGTTGTCACCATGCCTGAGTACCTGCAGAAGAGGTTTGGCGGGGAGAGGATCCAAATCTACCTGTCTGTGCTGTCCCTGATTATCTACATATTCTCCAAGATATCCGTATGTATCCAGCTGAACACAGCCCCTGTGTCTAGGGCAGGGATAGGGCATCCTGGTACAAGGCAGAGCTGCTCAGAGAGAACTTGAAAGGACCAGCCCTGCTCCCAGGAACAGCAGCAGTGTGTTAGTGTGCTGCTCTTGCCTCTGTATTGATCATGGAGACCTTTCCCAAGAGAGAGACAGAGCCCTCATTAAACAGCAATGCACAGTGAGAACTTTACAGGGATGTGCAACTAATTACTAAAAAGTGTAAGTACCATGGGCTGTCTTCCTGCTTTTCCTCTTCTATCACATCAAACCTTAGGTATCAGAGATAGAGGAAGGGCTGCACTGCCCCATCTGAAAATCTGGCTGGCTTCATCTCGTAGAGATGAAATTCCCTTAAATTATCATAAACCTGCTGTTGTTCTTGTAGTTGAGTTGTCAGCTTTAGGTATTTTATGGTTGTTCCTCTCTCTTTCTCTCACTTGTGTTGGGTACAGTGAAAGGGAGGTAGGTTCTGGCTTGAGACAAAACTCAGCATCTTTTCTCAATTGCTTGTAGCATTGTACCTAGCTGGTAACCAAAACCCAGTGTAGCCTACTGGGTATTTACCCCTCTTAAATGCCATTCAGAAAGAAACAGAAGTTATGCTCAGACATTTATTAAGAACTACCCATGCCCTTGGAGGGAGAGGAATGTATCTGAGAGTCCATTACAGGGATTGAAGATGTCACTCCTTTGTCTCCAGCTGATTATCCCAAGGTCAGTACGAGCCAATTTTCACTAGACCTTTCTGAAATATTCAGATCTCAAATTGCCTTGGGAGACACTGACTGGAGATAAAACACTCCTGTGGCTTCAAGGTCCTTCTCCCAGGCTTATTATGTCTCAGCTCCTGGAAGGGGCATTAAGAGAAGTTCCAGGCTGGGAGTGTGGGGTAGTTTTCCTCCTCTAATAGGCAGCTCTTGGTCATGTCACCCACTGCTGTCACCCCTGCCTCCAGCTTTGCTCTGTGGGACTGGAGCCCTGGGTGACAGAACGAGTGAGGTCCTGCAAAGAGGCACTTAAAGCCTCTTTACCTGTGAGGGATAAATGGCAACTTTCTCCTGCAGCAGCCCAGAGTGAGCACAGCCACACAGCCAGGGTATGAAACAGAGCTGTCTTTCAGAGTGACCTTCAGCAGAGCAGTATTTGCCAGTGCTTTTCAGAGCAGGACCCTGGCCCCCATCACTGCTGTTTCATCTCAGTGGTTTCTCCTCTGTGCAGCCAATTCATGCATGGCTGACGGATGTGGCTGGGGGAGTTTATGGCCATGACAGGTGCTTTCTATTAAGCAGAGCTATTGTTTGTGGAGAGCTCATTTAGCGGCTGGCTGGACAGCAGGCACTTGGTTACAAGAAGGATTTTTCTCCCCGTGCTTTCTGCCCAAACACAGGTCAACAACCATGGCACTTAAGAGTCTTCTCAGCTTGCAAAGAGAGCAGAGATCTCAATAATCAGTGTTGTCAGAGGACTGATCCTGCACGGCTGCAGGGGTGGTTGTGTTTGCTGCTGGGCAGCCAAGCCCCAGAAGGGTCAGGGATTCCTGGGTGTACTGGCTGTGCCTGTCGTGTCTCAGCCCTGCAGAGCTCAGGGGTTGCACTGGCTCCTTGCTTTTAAGGCGCTTATTTTAGATACAGCAAATGGAATTCCTGCCCCATCTCTGGTCTCCCTTGGCAAAGGTCTTCATGTGTATCTCACCCCATACCAGACCTGCAGGTGTCCTTCCACCTGCTTTCCCAACATAAACATCTCTCATATCACCTTCTGCAATTCTGAGTGATGTTATCTGTGTAATTCCAGGTTTCACCCAGTTTCTGGTGTCGCTCTCTACCAAAAGAGAACAAAAACAAAACACAGATGATGGGGGTTCTTGTATGGGCCTTCTAGTGAGGTTATCAGCAGGTATAGCCTGTTTTTCTGGAGTCACTCTAATATGCTGAACTGCACAGAGAAACCACCTGTTGACTTCTCAAATAAACAAATCATGGTACAAGGCATCAGTGACTCTTTAGGAGTCATTCAAGAGGGAGTGTCTCTGGACCACGAGGCAGCCCTGGGAAGAATAAGGCCTCTGCTATCTCTTTCCCTCCTGTGTCTGCCTGTGGATACATGGGCTCTGCTATCCAGGGATGTGTTCACAGTCTGCAAAAGTGACGGTTTACACCAGTCCTTCTCTGTGCCAGCCAGGATTCTATGACTCAAGATGGTTTTTATTTCAATGACTTTTTGGTCTCTTGGCATAGCACCTTCATTTTCACCCTCCTGCTCTTCCAGATCCTGAAAGCTCTGACCTGGAGGAAAGTTTTTCTTTACAGCAAAACAAGGTTCAGAGCCAAGAGTGCCAACAGCTCTTCTCCTCCCCTTCCAGTTCACCTTTGTGGTGTCCTCCCCTGTCAATGCTTTCAGCTGCAGAGGGCTGCAGGCTGCTTTATTAGATTTCATTTGCACGAAGCACTGCTAATGCCAGACTGCCCTTGGTTTTTTTTATTCCAGGTGGATATATTTGCTGGAGCATTGTTCATCCAAACCTCTTTGGGATGGAACATCTACTTGTCCACCGTGCTCTTGCTAACAGTGACTGCTATCTACACTATAATTGGTAAATAGCTGGTTTTAAAGGACACATTATAAACTGGAGCCTAGGATAGAAGTTTCCCATTTCCTACAGAGGGGAAAGAGTATTCAGGTCCTGGTCTGAGGGAGAGATTGCCCCAGTTGCTGGTAGTACCTGCCTTGTCACTCCCAGTTGTTGGAAACCTTTGACTCTTCCCCTCTCCCCTCTTGGCCCAATGGAAACTGGTACGGGGGGAACATCACTGTTTTTATAGGATTTTCTAACACTGCACAAGGCTCTTGGCTTCCTCTGTGCAGGAAGTTACCACTGCCCATATTTGCTAATTTGTTCCCTTTCTGTAACTTCAGCTGTTAAGATGCTGAGCTGCCTCCAAGTTCTCTGATGAACATGGAAAACCTTCCACGCTGTTCCTCACAGGAGTATTTTGACAGCTGTGGGCTCCAGGGGACCAGCTCAGTGCCTGTCCTGAAATCACAGGGCTGGGGCTAAAGAAAGCTTTTTTCAGGTGAGGTACCTGTTTCCCTGTGCAAGGGGACGCACTGACTGCTGTCTCTGGTTCTCCTGGCAGGGGGGTTGACTGCTGTGATTTACACAGACCTGCTGCAGACCGTGATCATGGTGCTGGGAGCTTTCATCCTCATGTTCATAGGTAAGGGGGACCTGCAGTGCCACCACACAGCAGTTTAGTGGTCCCAAGGCCACTAGACCTTGGCAGGGTGCCTCACCCTTTCATGTGTGGTGCAGAAATGAGTTTTAACCCCTCACAGAAGTGATGCCAGCACATGTCTCATTCTCCAAGCCATCATACTTTCTTCATCCTTTGCACTAACTGTATGGGGGTGAGGATCTGGATAACTTCACCTCACTGGAGTTGCTAAAGAACTTTGGAACATCACATTCTCAGAGCCAAATTCAGCTCTCATTAAGCCCATGTCAATTCAGAGTAATCCTGCTGACTTCCACTGTCGACTTTTGGAGTTACTGTGGAGATACATGTGGGTGTAACTGAGCATTATAAAAAAGTAAAGAGCAACAAGGAAATGACAATCTGTTATGGCACGTGCCACAGTGAGATCCCAGAGAGTGACCTGTGTCTCTGAGCCCAGAGCACAGCACAGAAAATGCTGACGATTTAAGATGAAGGGATGTGTTTGGTACTCTGATAGCTGGTTTATTGAACACAGCCTTGATTAGGTGCAGGGACAAGAACAAAATATTGGGCTAAGGGCACAGGGTTAAATGAGGGACAGAAGGGGCAGATCTGAGGGTCGAGGTCCAACAGGGATAAGAGAAAGTGGTGCAAGGGAGTGGCTAAAGACTGAGAGAACCAAGGGGATAACAGGGGTGGAACAACACAGCAAAACAGACAGTGGGGGGTTAAGGGAAGGAAGAATGTTCTAGGAAGGGTACATGAATGGTTAACAGGGGCTGAACAAGGGTGGCATCAATCCCCACACACTATCAGAACACCAGAACCCAAAAGGCACCAACATGTGGCTGGGAGGGAGGCCTTTTCTTATTGTATCCTATAGGGGTGTCTCTCCCCTTTTGCCTCTGCCTCTCCAGGGCTGAGGTATGACCACCCTGGTGGCAGACCCCTGGGCCTCCACAACCTTCATCAGTCTTTGTTTTAAGCCTTCTTGGCAAACAGAAATAGCTAAACCAGGTATATCTTTTTTCATGTTATGCTTTCCTGCTCTAGCTCTCGGAGGGTGTGTAAGTGAAAACTAGATGCAGATGACATTGCAGGGATTAGGATCCTGGAGTTTTTCCTGTATCCTCTCCCAGAATGTGTTGCTTAAACCACAAGGACTCTGGGCAAAATCCAGCTGATTTCGGTAGAGACTTTGACTTCAAAAAGCAAGAGTGGAATGAAAAGGCGATAAGAGGAAGATAAAAGAAAAGTAATCACGAGACTCAGATAAGATAATACCTTTGCATGATACAACAGCCCTTAAATCACTGGCATTTTCTTTACAGGGTTTGAAAAAGTTGGCTGGTATGAAGGACTTCAGGAGAAATACTTCACAGCAATACCAAAGATAACGGTTCCAAACACAAACTGTCACCTCCCACGTGAAGATGCCTTTCATTTGTTCAGGGATCCCATCACAGGAGACCTTCCCTGGCCTGCCCTTATGTTTGGTCTCACTGTGGTGGCTCTTTGGTTCTGGTGCACTGACCAGGTAAATGAAATCTTTCCCTCAGCAGACAAACCACTACAGTGTTATTTTCAGTCAACTCCTCAGTCTGTGGTTCTGTGAGCTAAAAAATCACTGTGCCTCAGTGTGCAGGAGTTGCTACCTTTTTATTCTGGTCTAGACCAGAAAGTCTCACTCCTTCCACCTTCTCAGCAAGCTGCTAATCTTATCCACTTCTTAGTGCAGTGAGAACAGGTTGTTTTCATCCATCTTTATCCTACTGTGGGTTGGTGAGTACTGGGAGTCTTCATGACAAGGGTATAAAAATGTGAATCTGGAGCTGGCTGTGCTGTGCCCTTGAGTAGACCTCCAGACAATATTCCTCCATTCATATTCCCAGATGTCTCATGTCCCTTATTCCTTTTCAAGCTACAAACAAGGAAAGCTGTGTGTGTTTCTCGAGATGCGGTGCTTCTGTACTTTTAGATGGGATAATTATGAAACCCCACCACTGAGCTCTTACCAGAACTCCCACAGTCTGCTTAATTCTGTGTCTCTTGCTGCCATACAGCTGCTGTCTCCAGCCCTCAAGGTAGCTTCATTTCAGTCAAGGGTGAAATTATTCTTGTAAAGGAAATTTCCACGCTGCCCTCTCCTATAGCCTGTGGACTGAGCTCTGAGTGGTGGCAGCAGGCTGCAGCCAGTGAGGTGGGAAAGCTGTCCTTGGCATGCAAAACACCCTGGGATCCTGCAGGATGAAAGTCATCCCTGAGAAGGAGAGACAGAGAGAACAGATCCTCTCTCTGCTGTGCTTCTGTTTCATTCTCTCTTCCCTCTCTGCTCTGGTTCCAGGTGACGGTCCAGAGGTCTCTCTCTGCCAAGAACCTCTCCCATGCCAAAGGTGGATCACTGCTGGCAGGATACCTGAAAATCCTTCCTGCGTTTTTCATTGTCATGCCAGGAATGATCAGCAGAGTTCTTTACCCAGGTCAGCCTTCCCATCTTCCTTGACATGGGGCTCCATATCTGCTGTGACCACTAATCCCACACAGGTCTGCCAGAACTTTTACATCTGAGAAACTGCTGTCCTGCAGGCATGTTCATAGAGATTCCTGTTGCATCATGGTGCTTCCGAGCCCTACCTCCACCTCCAGTTCTCCCACAGTGGCAGAAATCACCAGAAGTAGCCATAAGAGGCTTACTTTGCCACTGGGGACATGTAGCTCCATGCAGTGGACATTGCATTCATCTGTCTGTCTGTCTGGAGTCAGTGAAATTAAATTCATGGAGCACTGAGGTTGTCCTTTGGATCCTATGGATTACATCCATTAGATATTTTGGAGAGTTTTAGCAACCTAGCACACAGATACATTTAGGTCCTGGTGGATTAGGTTAAATGACTCTCCCTTATATCCTAAGGAGCTCTCATTGCTGGTTTCTCCAGAGCCTTCCCCTTTCCAGGAAGAATAACTTGGTTAGAAAGAAGAAAGAACCCATTTCCCAGATTTTCTAAATAGGAGTAAATGGGACTCCAGCATCCCTGGGAACCCAGCTGACAGGTTCATGGAAACAGTCCAGTTCCCACAAGTGACAAATCATCAAGGATTACAGTTATGCAACACCCAGGAGACTTTTAGCTGTATCCTGAACAGAATTTCAAAATGTCACCTCAAAGTTTCACCTCTATTATATGATATAAAGCATTTTCCAGCTCCACTCATTGTAGCTGTGTTCTACCTCTGAATTTATATGAAACTGCTCAAGGCTGAACTGAACAGGATTTGTTCCCTTGATCTAAACAAGCTGTGGCTCAGTGGGGTTTGCACTGATTCCTTGTTGTTTCCCTGTGCCCCGCAGATGAAGTGGCCTGCGTGGACCCAGACGTCTGCACAAAGGTCTGTGGAGCTGCTGTGGGTTGTTCCAACGTTGCCTACCCCAAGCTGGTGATGGAACTCATGCCTGATGGTGAGAAGCACCCTTGTGGAGCTGGGCTTGAGCCAGGCTCTGCACGGGGGGGATCAGGCTGCTCTTACCCATCCTAAGGATGTGGAAATCTTACAGCAGACACCAGACTGCAGGATGGAAAAAGCAGTGCTCAGAGGCTCAAGGCCCAGTCCTGATTCCTCTTCTGTGTTTTGCTCCCTCAGGGCTCCGGGGTTTGATGATTGCAGTGATGATGGCAGCCCTGATGAGTTCCCTCACCTCCGTTTTCAACAGCAGCAGCACCCTCTTCGTTATCGACATCTGGCAGCGCATCCGCAGGAAGGCCTCCGAGCAGGAGCTGATGATTGTGGGCAGGTCCTTACATTTATTTATGTCTTGTTCCTCTCATCATCTGTTCTGAGTGCAGCTTTTACGTCCTCCAGGCTGGACTCACTGAGAAAAATCTGGTGCCTGCAATATAGAGCGGGAGCAGAGCTTGGGAAGAGCACTGTGTTTTCCAGCTTCATCTTCATATTCATCAGGATAGGCCTGGTCAAGGAGAAACTGAGTGTTCCACTGAGCTAAGCAGATAATTGCCTCTCTTCTCTCTAAACTTATTATAAATACTGCTTTAAATGAAATTTTTAGAAAAGCCAAAAGTGCTCTTGAGTCATTGTCACCAGAGGTCTATAAAAATGTTATTTTTGCATCAGACAGGAGTGATATGTTGCAATTAGTTTTGTTTTTTGGGTTTTTTTCAGGGAAAAGTGAAGAGCTGAGCCTCCCAGCTTTCTGTCTCTGTGAGAGCTTGTAGTGTCCTTTGCTGAGAAGCTTTGGTGCTGCTTTATATCAGGGCATATAAAGTTCTCCTCCAGACAGGACTTTAGGCTGCATTCAGTGTGGAGATTTTGCCCTCCAGTCATGAGCATTAAGTTCTGAACTTTGCTGAGGTGTGGCTGAAGGCTGCAGGCAAACTCACATTTCACCATGGCACAGTGGGTAGAGGACAAGTACCTCTTGTTCAGCAGTATGGACAAACCTCTGTGGCACACGGTGCAAAGGCACAGGAAGGTTACAATATTCACCTGAGACCCCAAACATAATTTTAACAAGTAGCAAATGAGTTGGAATTTGGCAAAAGCAATAGACTGAGCACATTTCCTGCTTGGAAACGTGGTAGAAAGATTGCTTCCACAACCCACCAGATCCCTCTTTTTGTCACATCCAAGAGCAAGGTCACTGAATGTCACACTTCTGGGCATACCAGGCTCACATTGGCAGAACATTTTCTCTTTTCCCATGTACACAAGGAAAGGTTCTTGAGAGTGATCTGTGGATTTTTTCTTAGGAAATTCCAAGAGAATCTGGGAGTATGTTTTGCTGCAAAATTACCTATAGAGTTAATACAAATTTATCCTTCTCTCTCAGAGTCTTCACCCTCATCCTTGTGGTCATCAGCATTCTCTGGATCCCAATCATTCAGTCAGCCAACAATGGAAAGCTCTTTGACTACATTCAGTCCATAGTCAGCTATCTGTCCCCACCAATTGCAGCCCTCTTCCTCTTGGCAATCTTCTGGAAGAGGATTAATGAGCCTGTAAGTGAAGTGCCAACAACCAATTGATACATGTATTTATTTTGATAAAACAAATAAATATCGCTTCCCTCAGTACCTAGCCTTTGAGACTCTTTAAACTTGGAGCCAGTCCAGCTCAAGTGTGACAATTAGACAGCCTTTCCTGACACAAATTAATGAATCTTACCCCAGTCTCTAATGGGTGTGGGTTTGCTTCTAGGTACATTGTGGCAGTCCCATTTGAAGGAATGAAAGGGAAGTTGTTCTGCCATTTAGGGATGATGTGTCAAAGCCTCATTGGAGGAGCGTTGTTAGGAGGAGATTCTTGCATTGTTTGTGCTCTGTGTGCTCCATGTTGATGAGCAGTGAGAGAAAATGAGGGTTTTTACCTGAAAAAATTCTCCATTGATGCAACTCAGTGTGGATTTCCATCAGGCAAAAAATGTCTTGGGAAAGAGGGAGAAGAGAGGGAAAAGTACAACCAGAGGTAATTTGCAGTGACCTTTTCTTTGTGCTTGCCTTTTCTCAGGGTGCTTTCTGGGGTCTCATTGTTGGCCTTGCTGTTGGTCTGGTTCGGATGATCATGGAGTTTATTTATACTGCCCCGTCTTGTGGGGAGGAGGACAGGAGACCAGCGGTGCTAAAGAACGTGCACTACCTCTACTTCGCCCTCATCCTCTCTGCCATCACTACCATTGTCATTGTCATCATCAGCCTCTGCACCCCACCCATCCCTGAAGAAAAGGTAAGCCACTTGCAGTGACACCCTTTGCCCAGAGCCCCCATCTGGCTACCAAAAATCCCTGAGATCTGCTTTTTCCTGCTCCTGCAGTGGCTAAGAAATGGTGTGCAATGCATGTGCTGCCAAGAAGCCCTTGCTCCTCAGCTCTCCCTAGTGCCCAGGCTGCTGAGCTTTAATGCTGCTGAGCACTGAGTGCTTCAGATTGAGTGTGAGTTCCCATGCTGTGCCCAGAGCTGGGCAGACAACACAGCCCATCCTAACTGGAGTAGAAAGAACAGAAGAAGGGGAAGGAGATGAAATCACATTACAGAGCACTGCTGAGGAGGAATTAAATATATCTAATTGTAGCATCTAGCCTGTTTCAGCAGAGACAGCATCAATCTTGCAGGCAAACAAGATTAATATCTTTTGCAACATGGGCATTTAGGAAAATAACATTTTGTCCCAATGTGATCTCAATTAAATTTAATAACTTTGAGGGAAGCACAACTTTCTTTTACTTAGCACATTAAAATGGTGCAGAGTTGGGAGATTTTGTATTATAAAACCTTAAAGCAACTCTTCCCAGTCCCAAGTTTTAAAGCAGCTGCCAATATAACAAAACTGCCACCTACCTCTCAGCAAAGGTTACTGGATAGATTAAAAAGACCTATTTTTTCCTGTCTAACTGCATGAGAGAGAAAATGCTGTGATGGTATCAATCTGTTGCTTCCTCATAACTTGTAAAGCATTAACCAGCTCCATCAATTTTTGATGAAATGTTATAGGTGTCAAGGATACCCCACTCCTAAAGATTACATGAAAGCAGGTGCTCAGATAGGGGAGAGGAGGGGGGAGAGAGGCTGTCTTTGTGTCTGCTTGGAGATAAACTCTCAGCTTTTATTAGCTATCAGAGGATCCACATGGGAGAGAGAAATACTGGCAAGGAGGCACCATTAGTTCTGCTGCTTACGTTGTTCATGACTGCTCAGGGGTGGCCAGATGGTTGCCAGCAATTAATTACTGTGGTTTAATGAGTTCCCACTTATCATCTGACCTGTGATAGCTAAACATGTGCAGTGCTCCCTGCCCACAGCAATAGCAAGATAAGATGCATTAACACAGCACTGGTGAACAGTGAGCATCAAACCAGCGGTTCAGGAGATGGAGAAAATGGCTCCAGCATCTCCAGACTTTTTAGTCTGACCTCAGAGGTATGAAAACATTTCAAGCATCTTCCAGGAGGGGCATTTCAGCATGGACCCCACTATAAAAGAATTAAAGAAAGTGAGGTTACAATCCTAAGAGATTCCCCAGGGGAGATTTTCAGAGGTATTTCTACTGAAATGTGTGAGTTTATAGGTGCTGGATGTAAATGACCTTATTTGACACATTCTTCAAAGAGCCAGGGGTATGGTCAGGGAGGGCAGGATTTTGTCTGAAGCAGCTGTGTGCAGTTATCCCAGAGAAACAAAGGATGAGAGGTGGTGGCTGCCCCGCCTCAGGTGCCTCTGGAGAGCCAGGGAAGGAGGAGAGCTTGCTGAAGGGCCAGGAACTAACATCAGCTGGGCTTTTTGGGGGAAGTTTTCTCAATAGGGTTGTTCAGGATAGCCTTTTGGTATGCTATGGACCCCACATAGTGCTGAGCTCAGTACCTGACCTCTGTGCAAGAGATTCTGTTGTAGAAAATGAGTGAGGATTAATGATACTGCCTGTGGCAGTGAAAGGCTGGACACAGAGATCCAGATCAATCATCTGATATTTGTGATGACCATCCCATGTGCTCTCTGCCCCTCAGTGTCTTCCCACCACAAGGAAAATGGAATAGACTGCCAGGAAATTCATGCCACTAAGCAGTAGCTCATTCCCCCTTTCCATAGCTCAGTAGGAATGGGAAAGTCTGTCACCATTTCTTTTTTGTCTGATTCCATTCAGTTTCTACTGTTTATCCCTGATTTCAACAGGAAAATCTGCCCTTGTTCCTCAGAGAACAGCCAAAGGGAAGCTGTGGGGTTTAACTGAAGTAGGAGACAACACTGCTGGGTTTCTGCCTGTCTGGTACGAATCTGAGTGGGCAGCACTGAGACCAAAACTTTTTGTTTTCCTGGGTCAGATTCACCCCAGGTTTTGCCCTAGACATGAGCAGAGATGTGGGTTTGGACCATCACTTCTGGTTTGCCCCCTCATCTCCAGCGAGTCTGTGGCTGCGCTGGCTCAGGGACAGAAGTGGTCGGGGAAGGAAGGGCAGGGGCTGGAGATCAGGGTGGGTGTGCCAGGCTCTGTCTGGGTAGAAACTGGCACCTGGTCTTTGTGTTTGGCCATTATTTACTTGGCATGCAGGTGGGCAAACCGGTGGTGAAGAGCCTGAGTGTTGCTGTGGCCGTGGCTGGGAGGGGGACGCTGTGCTGGGTGTCCTGCATGAGGAGCTCTGGGGCTTCCTGGTGAACCAGTTCCCTTCCTGAGCCTCAGCTATTTCTCCCCTAAGACTTGCATGGGGCTGGTTCTGCTCATCCTTAACTGCAGTGCTTGGGGATGGAATGATGAAAGACACGGTACAAGAGCTAGGAATTGTGTCATTTGTTTTGTCAAGCAAAAAGAGCAGAAAAACAAGCCGGCAAAGACAAAGCCGAGGAAATACAGTGATAGATCATACCTCAGCAGATGTAAATCACCACAGCTCCATTGCCTTCAAAGACCAGGAACAGCTGTTGAGCACAGTTATGTCACTTTGCACCAGCTGAGGATCTACACTGGACAACTTTAAATATTGAATCTCAATGCTTTTGAGATAGTAAATGGGCGAAAGGAGAAAAGAGATTTGTATCTGATGTTAGAGTGGTACAGCTAATGTTCCTGGCTTTAAATGAATTACAATCTGAGAACTGCAAGCTGTAGCATTTTCTCCTGCTGTTTTGGACACTCTCCCATCCCTGTGGTGATTGATGCTGTGCTGGAAAACAAGTATGCAAGGAATTTGTTTGGTGTGCTCCAGAGTTCATATGTCTTCATTGTAGGTAGTCCATATTGTGTCACGCCGTCCTTGAAAACCCTGCAAAAGAGCTTACAATTAAATTTGAGACTGTGAAGCTGAAACACAACTGTCAGGTGCCAGATGGCATTTTGGAACAGAAGGATTTATTCTAGTTTACGAACAACAAAAGAAAAACTTTGCTGAGTTCTTGCAAACTCCCTTTCCCAAAGAGACTGTGAGGGAGGAAAGGGAGGGGAGCAGCCCACAAAGCACTGAGTGCTGCACCCCAGGGGTCAGGGCTCACCCCGACAGGCTGATGGATTGGCAATTCCACCGGCTATACTCTGGGCTTGGGGTGTTCTCCCTGTGTCTCGAGGTCTGGCTTCAGTGGCTCCCCTTGGTGCAGAGCTTAGGAGGAGCAGCAAGCCCAGCTGGGCTGGCCTGAGCCCACCCTGCGAGCTCTGAGGTGCTGCAGCTGCCACAGCATCCCTTGGTGGCTCTGGCAGCCAGACACGCTCAGCCCTGTGGGTGCTGACAGGAGCGAACTAAGGGGGTCTCAGGGCTCCCCCAGCAGTGCTCAGGGTGACTCTGCAGGCGGGAGCAGAGCCTCAGGGCTCCCCAGGACCCAGCACAAGGCTCTCTCCTGCTCCCCTGCCCTTGGACATGGTGGCCTCAGGCAGCACTTCCAAGGTCCCAGTCAGTAAAGCTGACACAGCTCCCCTGCAGGCAATTCTAAATTAGGTATTTTCCTGCTTTCTCCAGGCACTCAAGGCACTGCCACCATCTGCCTCCCCTCCCCATCCCTTTGGGGATGCACAGGCAGGCACAGCCAGCCCCGTGGAGGCCTCCATGGCCACACAGAGCTGCTGCTCTGCCCCAGAGGCAAGGGGGAGAAAGGGGCATCTCAGGGAATGCAGCCAGCCCAAACCCAGCGGAGCTCCAAGCTGGAGTGCTGCTGTGATGCTTCACCAGGAGCTCTCTGGGGTGCTGGTTTGCTTTTCTGGCCGTGGAGGAGACACCCAGCTCCTGGGTGGGTCAGTGGGATGATGCCATGAGGTTCCCTGTGTCTATTCTGCTTTCCAGCATAGCCAATACACAACTGGGAATTGCTTCTCTCTGGTGGAGTCCAAGCCCCAAGTACACCCCAGCCCTTGATTATGGTGCAATATGCAGAGACAGTGGTTCAGTGACACATGAGTAGAGGAGAGTAAAAAGGAAAAAAAAAGTTTTGGAAATTCTTTAGTACCCTGAAACTTTACGGTGTTCCAGTGACATTTCCTAAGTGATTAAAAAAAAAAAATCCCCGAGAAAGATGAGGATCATCAAATCAAAGCAATTTAGCACTTCATGACAAGAAAGATTAGCCCTGCCCAATGCTCATCTTGGTTGAAAATGATTTAAATAAAGCTATAAATCTTCTGGAAATTATGCAACATTTTGTGTCAGCTGGAAGCTTCTGCCTGGATTTTTGTGTGCAAAATTCAAAAATTAAACTCACGTTACTTTGTAAGTGACCCACTGGGGAAGTTCCATATTTCCATATGGGCAGAGCAGGGAGGCAGCTGCTCCTGGGGCACTTGTGTGACTTTGCCTGCCCTGCTGTCACCACTGCACTGTCCCCCCCTGTGCCCCTCTGCCAGGCAGCATGGGCTGGAGGGGGAGGGAAGCCGCTGGACTCAGGAGCTGGGGCTGGGAGGGATGGATGAGCCTGTCCCTGCTGCTTGGCCTGGCCAGGGCAGGGGTCAGGAAGAGCCACCCAGATCCTGGGCATGCCAAGGTCAGCCACAGCAGCAGCAGGCTTGGCTTAACCCCAAATCCCTGAGCCCCTGGGGTGTGTGACACCCCCACAGCTGCCAAAGGGCCACTGAGGTTTGTAAGATCAATGTCTCCTGTGCACTCCTTGTGTTCCAGAGAGAAGACTTTCAGGCTTGCTCTAGGATAAGAGTTTCAGAACTTGGGCATTTGTAAAGCAGACTGATTGTCCTTTGTGTCTTTCTGCAGAGACAGACAATGTCTTGTATTGGCCCATCAGAGAAATATGGAATTTAAAAAAAAATATTCTAGGGCACAGCAGCTGTCTGTGACTGACTGTATCCAGAGGGGGTATCTTGGCTTCTTTTTTGATTTTTTTTTTATTTATTTGACTTTATTACCCTTCCCTGTTGGAGGGCTGCCAGTCTGGATGCAGACCATCATTATTTCAGATCAATCACATGAACCTTGCAAATAGGAAGCTGCTTCTCCAATGTCTACTAAAGGGTTACTCCTCAGAGACAGGGATGGAACAAGTTATTTTAAAAAATGGAAGGAGAGAAACCAGACTATTTCACTTTTTTTTCCAGCTTTTTAACTCCAGCTGGATGGTGCCAACCTCCTTAGCCAGCATGTGGGCACCTGTGCAGGAAGGGAGGGAGGGAACATGATAGGACTCAGAATCACCTTGGACCTGTGCCTCCCAAGGAGGGAAATGTCTGGGTGGTCACACTGGAACAGGCAGGCAGTGACCAGTTCCTCTGTTCCACTTTGCAGCTGGACAGCCTCACGTGGTGGACCAGGCACAGAAAACCACCTGCCATAAACCTGAAAAACGACGGGAGTGAAGCAGCAGAGACCTCAGAACACAGAGAGAAGGAGCTGGTGGAAACTGCAGCTCCAGGAGATGAGGAGGAGCCAGGTAGGGGTGAACAAACACACTCATGTGCCTGGGAGTGCACAGCCAGGATCCCATGCTAATCCCTAAAGTACATGAGGGTGCATTCACCGGAGCTGGGGCTTGTATTTACAGTTTTAAGGATGTGACAAATGAAATTGTTGTGGTTCTTGGTCCTCCCAACATACCTTGATGTCATTTCTCTCTGAATGGCTCAGAAGAGCTGCCATTCCTGAAAAAACAGAGCACCAATAAAAACAGCAGCACAGTCTGAGGGGACCAAGAGACCCTGGGAGCAGAAATGTGCACTTTGTGGATGCCCTAGAATGAACCCACAGGCCTTACTTTTCTCATTTCCATGATGCCAACAGGATCTTTTCATCTTCCCTTAGGATGTAAGCCATGGTTAAAACTCAGCCCTTAAACAGCTCTGTGTCCTCCCAGAGGTATTTGATAGGAAGGCAGAGCAAAGTGAACTGAAAGAGTTGTCAGGAGACAGAACAGTAGCAGGAGATGCTACATAGGCTAGTTCTTTTCTGAGTGGACAGAGCTTTATTCTGCAAATAAAGCAGAAAAAATGCAGCTTTCTGGTTTTGAGCTTAACCTTTGAAGGTTACAGAGCAGGAATCTCAGAATAAAGGCACACATGAGACTTCTTCACTCCTTCCATGTGCTGGTCAGTCCAAAGGGCACTGGAACCAGTCACGGCCAAGCTTAACAGAAGTGAACATCTAAACAAATCCCTTGTTTTTTCTTCCCCAATAGAGTAAATTTGGGTTTAAGGTGAATGCAGTTATTCAGCATTATTTCTTATCAACTCCTAGTTCACTAGCTCAGATTTTTATAAACAAATATCTTGGTATTTTGGTAATTAGCAGAGATGAGGAAGGAAATGTGAAACACAGCAGTTGACAGGTTAATGAGGGTTTTTCCCTGGGTAACACCTTTTTTCAAGGCCCCATAACATCATGCATTTAAAAAAAAAGGTTCTATTTGGAAAGAACAGTGAGTGAAATACACACAGCACAAGAATGACAATTAAAACACACACTTCTCCTGGCATGCCATGTGTAATGAACAAGCTGGGATATCTCTAAATGGACCATCATGCTGTCAGGAATTTTTAGAAGTATATGGAATCTGGGTTGGGGAGGAGGGGGAAGAGGTTTGTTAATTAACTAATGAGTGAGTGGTGCAATCAACCTACTGCAATCAGGCTGTGCTGTACATGGTCTAGGGAGAAGTTTCCTTTTTTTCCTTTTTCTTTTCCTTCTCCTTTTTTCCCCCCCTTTTCCTCATTTCCTTTTCCCCTTTTCCATTTTCCTTTTCCCTTCTTTCCATCATCTTGCACCTCCCACACAACATTCCTCTCAAGCCCCACTCCAGACTGGCCAATGCACCTCCAAAGGACTGGGAGAAGGGAGGGAGGAGTCCCAGTAGGTTCTAACATCGCTGTTTTGGTCCTTGTGTGGCAGCAGCCGAACGTCCCTGCTGGAAGGTGGTGTGTATGTGGCTGTGCGGTCTGTCCTCCGGCCCCACGCCCGCCCTGTCCCCGGAGGAGAAAGCTGTCCTGGAGCAGAGACTCACCAGCATCGAGGAAAAGCCCCTGTGGAAGACTGTGTGTGACATTAATGCCATTCTCCTGCTGGCTGTCAGTGTTTTCCTGTGGGCATATTTTGGCTGAGCTGGCTCAGGCTTTGGTTGCTCTCCCCTTCCTGTCCCAGCTGGGAGCATCAGGCAGCACAGCCCTTCCCTGCAGGCAGCGCTTGCTGGGAATGACTGTGGGGCTCAGTTTCTCCCTGGGGGGTACCAGAACTCAGCACTGGTCACATCTGGGATGCAGGGGATGTGTGGGATAGCATGTGGGGCAAGTCAGCAGCTTTGGGGTCAAGTTTAAGGGTGCAGAGCTGAGCCCAGCAAGGAGCAAAGGCTTTGGAAAGCCCAGCCGTGGCAAGGCTGGGGCCTCTCTCAGGGCTGACTTTGCTCTGCTGTGCTTAGGGGAAGGAGTTCTGGTTTACAGTGTGTGGGGAAGGAGACTTAAACACTAGCTGTGCTTTTTTATATGGCCAAATTTCAGATAGGATCAGTTGGGGAGCACTGGATTAACACAGCATGACAACCCTGGCTCCCACAGCCTCCCCACAACCTGTGGGGGACCCCTCCCACC